GACTGACACAACAAAACAAAACACTCTGAAATGGAAAAAGCTCCAGTATTTCTAAAATACCATAAAGCACAAAGCACATTATTCTTTAGTTAAATGTGTTCCTTTAAACAAGCTTCATGTTTGTGTATGTGTGCAGGCACCCCAGAAGACAGAAGAGGGTTTCAGATCTTCTGGAATCCTGTGTCATCAGATGTGGGTGTTGGGACTTGAACCCTGGTCTTCTAAAAGAACAGCAAGTGCTCTGAGCTGATGAGCCATCTCTCCACCCCAAACTTTAAAGTACTGAGTAAAAATAAAACTTTGAGTAAAAATAAACTTTTAGTGATAACATTTTTATAGTTTGTTTTTAAAAATATTTCATTTTATTTTATGTTTATGGATATTTTGCTTGTGTATCTTGTCCTGGGAATTGAACCCAGGTCCTCTAGAAGAGCAACCAGTAGTCTTAACCTCTGAACTAGCTCTCTAGCTCCCCCCCCCCCATTATAGTTCCTTACAAGCTAACTTAACCAAGATTTAAACAGAAATACTAGGCAAGGTTTTTTTTTTTTTTTGGGGGGGGGGGTGACAGAGTCTAAAGGTGTGGGCCACTATGCCAGGCTTCTTTCCTTTTAGTAAAACTTGAAGAGCTATATTCTTTTTACTACTTTATAATAATTATATATGATTACATTTAGGGTAGGAAACACATTACACCAAAATACTAATAAAATGTAAATCTAGATTTAAATATTTTACAGTTTTAATTTTAAAAGCTATCTGTGGTAGCACAACCTATAATTCCAGGGCTTAGGAGGCGTGAAATAGAATATAGAGTTTGAGATCAGATTGAACTACACAAGTTTGAGAGCAACCCCCGTCATAATGTTTTATTAAACTGACTTTTATGGCAAGAGCTTGGTGTAGAGGTAGTAGAGTAGCCTGCTTTGGATTAGTGAAAGAGCTGGAGTCTGATACTGGAAGGTATGGACTTCGGAGAATTTTTGAGTTTTAGCCAGGTGTGGTGGAGCATGCCTTAATTCTAGCCCTTGGGAGGCAGGGGCAGGGTGATCTGTGTGGGTCCAAGGGCAGCCTTGTCTACCTAGTTGAGTTCTAGCCAGGTGGGCCACACAGTGAGACTGTCTGAACAAAACAACAAAGCCACTGAATGTGTCTGGGAAGCTTAAAAGGCTCCTATTACTCTGGTAAATGGGTACAGTAACAAACTGCCTTCCAAATTCTTACTTCTAGGCCAGAGATCAGTACATCTCTCAGACCTCATCCGACAAGTTTCTTAGGCAGTGGCTGATGGTTAACATAGTAATTACCGATTGATTGAAGCAGAGAGGCAGGTGTCAACAGAGTGTTCAGTCACAAATAAGACATTCATTCACATACACCCCAAAACTAAGGGACCATTGTGGAAGGTAAGGAGAGATCCTAAGAGCCAGAGGTTAGGAGAACTGGAGTGAAAGAGTGTCTCAGACATGACAGGCCCATCAAATTCATGAACTCAGCAGCCCGCACACCATCGAGACAGTTACCACTCTAGCATGGAGGGGGAGGTACTTATGAGACCCCATCCTTAACAGATGGCTTCTAGGGGAGGAAAGGGCAGGTCTCCGTCTCTCTTTCCTTTTATGTGCATTGGTGTTTGCCTGCATGCATGTGTGTGAGAACTAAAATTACAGAGAGTTGTGAGCTGCAATGTAGGTGCTGGGAATTGAACCCGGGTCCTCAGGAAGAGCAACCAGTGCTCTTAACCTCCCTAGCCTGAATCAGACTTTTTGTTTGTTTGTTTTGTTTTTTCAAGACAGGGTTTCTCTATGAATAGCCCTGGCTGTCCTGGAATCACTCTGTAGACCAGGCTGACCTGCCTCTGCCTTCCAAGTGTTGTGATTAAAGGTGTTTGTACCACTCCTGGCCAAGTCAGATTTCTTTAAGGATAAGGCAATCATGTCCCAGTGGATGGCCCTATACTTGTAAGTATATGGGCAACACAAATTAGACAATGGTAAGTTATGAGGCAGGGTAGAGGGCACCAAGTTGAAAGAGGGTAAGGAGATAGGGGTGGATCTGGGTGGAGTTAGAGGAACAGTGAGGTGGTGATGACTATGATAAAAATGCAATGTATAAAATTCTCAGAAAAAATGATATTAAAAAGCTGATACTACTATCTATCTTGCTATGGTAAAAATTAATCTAGTAGTGTAATGTAATAAAAGAATCAAATACTAGATCTCTTTTATACCGTACTGGGTTTATACAAGTATCATTTATTCCCACAATAAATGTTATTAACCCTCATTCATAATATATTCAGAGAGACTAAAAACAATCAATGTTATTTTTTTCAATACTTGGTTCTCCTCAGCTATTGTTAGCCTCTCTTCCAGCCTCATCTTCCTTAGTAATAATGTTTTGTACATCAAGTATATATTCTATTAAAAAGACATTGTAGGAAGTGGATTGGAGAGATGGCTGAGTACTTGTAAGTATTTGCTGTGGTTGCAAAGGTCCCAAATTCTGTTCCCAGAATCCACATCTTGCAGCTCACAATTGCCTGTAACTCTCCAGGGAATCTGATGCCCTCTTCTGGCCTCTGCAGGCACTGTACTCACAGATACCCCTACCATATACATTTTTATAATTAAAAAGAAAATCTTTTTTTTTTCTATTTACTGTTTTAATGGTAAGATTCTTATTACAGCATAACAAGGTGATGTACATAATCTTCTACCCGAGCCTCCATTCAGCCACCTTTGAAATAGGAAGGTGCACTGCATGTTCCCTTCTGCCGTGGGAGCCGAAAATCAGAATTAAGGGTATCAGTGTAAAGCTTGCAGTGCCTTCTGTCCTGGGGGCACACGTACTACTACCCTCACATTTTTATAGTCAAAATAAAATCTTAAAAAAAACCTCTTCAGTCGGCAAAAATGTTATATAGTCTCTTAGATAACTGCGTAGGATCATATGCCATTGTTATATATAATTTTATTTTTATTAGAATGCTATATATCTGTTTTCTCAAACTATTGTTCTTGAGAACCTCAGGGTATTAAAGTGGTCACAGCAGGGCAAACTAAATTTCCGTGAAATTGAATCTGCAATATTGGCATTGTTTTCAGTTAGTTCATTCAGATACCAACTTCAATGAGATATGCATTTGGAATAAATAATTCATTTGGGAATCTTGGGACCTTTATCAGTTACAGGTATACTGGTTTATTTCTTTTAAAGTATGGTATTTTAGATAACCTGACAATTTTGCAATGCAGAACTTTACTTATGTGAATTTCGTTACTACATTATCACCCTGCACATAGTGCTTCAAATCTATTGCCCTCAACATGCTCATAAACTTGCAGAAGGCAGCATTCATAGTTTTGGAGGCATTTGGCATTTGAAAGTTTTACAGGCTAATGCCCAAAGTAAACAAAACCATTAAATACCTAAAGTGCCTAGCTAGTAACATGAGGCCTTAACAGTTTTAGACATTCATGAGTATCTTCTATGTACTTCAATAATTTAGTGGAACTAAGGATCACCGATAGCTTAGAGGTGAGAAATCTGACAGTCAGGAAAGCAAAGACAGACACTCACACTCAAGGTCACACAGTAGACTAGAGTTAAAAGTAAAAACTAGAACTGTTTAATCCTTAAGCTTATTCATACCAATGAAATCAGCAAAGGAAATAATATCTTAACCTGTGAATAATGGCTTGATTGATAGGGCCAAGAGAACGGGCAGGCATGCTGACATCGTTCATAGTTTTAAAATCAAATGGTATTACTGATACTATGTCTAAAGTATTTATAGCTATAACTCTTTTTCCTGTTTTCAAGTTTCTGAATGTTAGGCTCTGAAAAGCATTACTTTGAAATCTCATTATGGTATATTCAATATATAAATGAGTATCAGCTCAACTTGAACCTCACACTGTACCTAATAATATTGTCCAGTTACTTGGGCAAAATAATTATAAATTGGATAACCTAAAGACTGAATAATTTCAAGATAAAACTAAGTTACTCAGAAACCATCATCTCAGGTACGATCATTCTTGCTGAAAATTAACAATAAGGTATTTAAAAAAGAATCTCAAACTGGGCATAGTGGCACACTATGCTGGCTTTAATCCCAGCACTTAAGAGACAGAGGCAGGAGGATTTCTGTGAGTTCGATGCCAGCCTGGTCTATAAAGAGAGTGCAGGACAGCCAGGGCTATTACACAGAGAAACCTGTCTTGAAAAAACAATACCAACAACAACAAAAACCCAAAAACAAAAGCAAACCCCTCCGGTTCTACTTGCGCCACCTGCTCTTCCTTTTTATTCATCTACAAATCTGAGCGTCGATTTGGAACCCTGTTTCTTATTATGCCTCACAAAATGCCACTATAGCAAGAACATCATGATTCGAGTAAGAGCTAAGCTTGCAACTTTTAAGAATGAATCCAGATTGAAGAACAGGAAAATCTACTTCTACAATGGAAAAATGTCCCAGTTGATAAAAATAAGTCTGACTGAAACTGTACAGTGGGTTCCACAAGAACCCAGAGAAATTTCCTAAGATAAATATTAACGAAAAAAAAATCATAATTTTCAACAGAGATCAATTTACTAATATGGAGAACGACAAGAAAAGCATAAACTTGACGGGCCAAGACCTGACTTAGCACAGGATGTGTTACGGACTGCAAGGATGAAAGGAAGCAATTAACAATGAATTAGAACCCTTCTTTTGGAGCTAAATGTACTTTAGTAAACTTCGGGTGGGAACTAAGCAAACAGGAGACCCGAGTGAACTCTCTTAAGCATCATTTAGCTAGAGTCGCAAAAACAAAAATGAATCCATCCTTTATTACTACAGAAATGACAAAGTAAGGACACTAGGGTGTCAAGGATAAAGGCTTGACGAGGTCTACCCCGTCCCGAGGAGCCCGAGCGGCCGCCTGGGAGCAGCGCCTGGAAGGGCAGACGTTAAACCCCAGCCCTCGCGCCACCCTTTCCCGTCTCACCTGTCCGAGCGAGCGCCGCCGTCGCCACCGTCGCCATCGCTCGGGCGCGGAGGGCAGGCCCGGCCACTCCCGCTCCTCGTGCAGCTCCCGCAAGGCCGAGGCCGCTCCGTCGGCCCCCGCCCCCGCCCCTCCGCCAGGCCAGTGTCAGACTTGCGGCTGTCTCCGCCTGCTCCCCGGGGACCGCCGCCACTTCCGGGTTCGGCCGCCACCTTTTCTTTCAGGCTCCCGACCTGGCGGCGGCGCGCGCCGCTGACGCCACCGCCCGGCGACCTCGCTCGGCTCCGGGCGGGGGCGAGCCGCGCATGCGCACGGGGCGAGCGCGCCAGCGCGCGGGAAGCGTCGCTGGGAGGACCGCCTTCCCGCAGAGCCGAGGCTCGGCGCCCCGGGCCGCTCCTTGTTCGCGTCGCCCGAGCCTGCAGAGCACAGGCCGGTCACCTCCCCGACGTGGGTGACACCCCCTCCGCCGCCCCGTGCGGTTGCCCCTCGGGTGAGGGAAACAGGGCCGCGCAGAGACGGCCTCCCCCAGCAAACACCAGTTCTTACAGAACTGCACGGGCAGGGAAGGGAAGGATGCCGGCCGCCCGCAAGCCCATGAGGTACGGACACACCGAGGGACACACCGAAGTCTGCTTCGATGATTCTGGAAGGTGAGCGTGTCTGGAAACAGGACGGCTCAGGTGTGGATGCCGGGGCCGTCGCTGCGCGTCGGCAGCCCGAGGTGCCCCGCGCCGAGGGAGAGGGAGGAATGCGCAAGAGCGGCCGCCTCCTGAGGCTTGTTTGCCTGGAGCTGGCGAGGTCGGTCAGGGGTGTCAGGAAAGTTAAAATCCTTTTCCCCGGGGCGCGCCTTCTCGCCATCCCTGCAGCTCACCGCGTACTGCTCGTCAGATACCTCATCCTGTCAGCGATGGTAGCCTCCTTTGGCGTTAGTGATGTTAGTTCTCTTTGCACTGTTCTCTGTCCTTCCCTTTCCTTTGTAACGTGCTGACTTCGAGCGGACCTTCTATTTCGTTGCTAAACTCAAGGCGATTTCCTGCCCTCTAAAACACTAACATTTATTTTGTTTTATGGTAATGTGTGTGTGGCTGAGTATATCTGAGCTGCCATGTGGGTGGTGGGAACCCAACCCAGGGCCTCTGAAAGAACAGTAAGTGTTTGTAGGTCTGAGCCAACGCTCCAGCCCCCCTGTTCTTTCCGCTTATCTTTCTAAATGCCATTCCTGTCTATTACTGTCCAATTCTATGGCTTCCATACCATACAGAAAGGTGCCACACCTCTCTGCTCATTGGTCCATTAGAAAAAGATGTGACTCCACTGTTCTGGGGGCTAGAGATGATGACAGCAAGCCATGACCATTTCTTTTGAAGTTAAGGTCTTTTTGGATTGCTAGGCATCAGGCATAAGTCAAATACAAAATAAATAAATATTTACAAATAATCAGAAATATTAAGTGATTTGTGCAGTGATAATCATATGGGCAGGGAAGCTGATCTAGGCTGAAGAAGGAAAGCTTCTCTAAGGAAGTGTGTCTTGAAGTGAGAACTGAGAATTCAAGTAGGTGTTAAGAAATAAAGATGGGCCAGGGATGTGGCCTAGTGGTACCACAGTCCCCAGCTCACGAAAAAAAAAAAAAAAGAAAAAGAAGTCTGAAGAGTCGAGGGCACAAGTTAGATACACAGCTAGAGGCAATGACTCCCTCTTCATGAATTTTGTCTGTAGGCAGTAGTTCGGCAGTCGGGATAGAACTCTCTTAGCCCGCCTTCATCTGTGTCTGGCTGCTGGCTGGTCTCTTCTTGGGTAGACCCAGTATAAACATCAGCAGTTGCTGAAGTTTGCGATGGCTGTCTTGCCCAGAATCGTGTAGCTTCCTCTTCCGCAGCGGCCCCTGAGCATTAGAGAACACAATGTAAATGTCTAGTTTAGGCCCTCAACGCTGAGAAGTCACTTATTGTCAGCACCTTAAGCAGTCATGAATCTACAGTCTCTGGAAATAAAGGCTGGGAGCCGCATTTGTAGTGTCCATAAATATTTAGAAGGCAGTTTAATAGTATTAAGTGCCCTCTCGGGTCTATGACCCCCGCATTGGCTTTTGAAAGGGTTCACCACATCAAGAATGGGTTTCCCTTGGTGGACTAGACCTTGAACCCAGACAGCGCTTGGTTACCCCATGCTGTCGTGCCACATATGTCCACCCAAGTGAACCTATCTCGCCTAGATGCTGGTGTCCTAGTCAGAGGCTGGTCTCAAAGTTAATATACCGATGAGGTTGCCTCTGCCTCCCAAACACTGAGATAAACACTTTATGACCCTTCCGTTTTCTCATGTGAGAATTGATCATTTTTTCTTCTAAATATTCATTTTATTCATATTTCTTCCTTCCTTCCCTCTCTCCTTTCCTTTCTCTTTATTCATTTATTTTTGCCATTTGCCCTATGCTGTTTTTATTTAATTTGCAGTTTTATATGTGTCCAGATAGGACATAAAAAGGATAAACAAAAGTGTTGGAACGGGAGATGAGAGGATGAAAAAAAAAAAGAATAACAGATACATGTAGCTAATTTAATAATTATTTTTGGATAATTGAGCTCATAAATTTATTCAGCGAACACTTGTTATAATTCCATGTATCCCATGCTGTTTGGTACTGCAGATAGCATGGTGACTGAGGCAAACATAGTCCCAGCTGTTGCAGAGATTATGTACTCGTCTTTTTCTTACATTATTACTAAGAAATAATTTTATGACAAGGAAGAACTATACAGAACATTAAACTCATTTCATTTTATAGAATGGGAAGTTAGTAGTTTGTTATTGATGTTTATTTGGAAAAATGAGAAAAATATTCACTAATGTCTTGATTTTTGTTTCAAAATATATAAAGATAGCATCTTATTAAGAGTTTTCCTGAAACGGGGTGACATTTTAATATGTGTATGTCTTTCACAGCTTTATTGTGACTTGTGGAAGTGATGGTGATGTGAGGATGTGGGAAGATTTGGATGATGATGATCCGAAGTCCATTAATGTTGGAGAAAAGGCTTTTTCATGTGCTTTGAAGGTACTTATTTCAGTTGGTTGAGGAAATGACAGTATATGACTTTTATGCTTGTTTGAAAAAAATTATATAAAAATATAAATTTTCCCTGGCTGGGAACCTAACTCAGGTCCTCTGGAAGAGTAGTAGTAAGTGCTCTTAACTGCTGAGCCGGGTAGTAAAACTATTTCTTAATAGAAGTTTTGAATATATGTGATTCATTTTTCTTTCTCTCCCCAGTATTTTGTTGTTTGTTTGTTTCTTAGAATGTATCTTCTGCAGGCCAGGCTGGCCTCAGGCTCACTATGTAGCTAAGGGTGACCTTGAACTCCTGCTCCTCCTGCTTCCACTTCCCAAATGGTAGGATTGTGTTGTGCTGGGGAGATCAAATCAGGGCTTTGTGCATGCCAGGAGAGCACTCTACCAACTGAATTACATCCCAACCCATTGTCACTGTTTGTAATAGCAAGAGTTGGAAGCAGTTGAGGGAATTCTCAGAGAATTCGTTTTATTTTGTGATATAGTCACAAAATAAATATTCAGTTACTAAAACGGGATAGCTTTTGTATATCTGCATCAGAAAAGATGTTAATAAGTGAAAAAATTAAAAGTTATAGAAATACCTGCATACTGTGATGTTTTAAAAGTTTTAAAAATACAAATTATTTGCATGCGTTTAGGAAAAAGTTAAAATGACATAATCTCTGAATGTTAAAAGAGATTACCTTAATAGAGTAGAAAATTCCATCTTTGTCTAGGGCACTTTTATATTGTGTTTTTTTTCCTCCAATAATAATTATGCCTTGTGTTTGTAATGAAAAAGTCTGTCAGGAAGGAAAAACAAATAAGGTCTTATATATTACTTTGTAACAAATTACCACAAACTCAGTGGTTTAAAACATTTGATTGCTTCACAATCCAGGAGGCAAACAGTCTGAGATTTAAGCTGGCAACAGACTTTACTCTTGCTGGTCTATGAGGGATAAACTTGTTTCTTGTCTGCCTTCTGGTTGTCACAATCTGAATCAATCCTTGTCTCCATGTCACTCCATCTCAGCAGTGGATTCTGCTGTTATCTTTAATTTACCCTGCTCTGGAAAGCATAATTATGTTGTGGAAACATGGAGAGGGAAGTACTGTAGTGGCTCTTTTGATGTCTTCTGCACTGAAAAGATTTCCTATGATAACGTGTTTCCTCATGTTTTTGATATATGGCATACTGTAAAATATAACTGTTTTTCTTACCAAAAGTAAAAGAAAAATTACATGCTACAAGAGTGGCTTGTAAAGGCAGAATTAGGTTTTCTAAAGCTAGGATATTTTTCTCACTAGGGTTTACTATAGGGAATTGTATGCTGAAAAGTTCTCTCTACATGAACTGTGTTTAGAAGGCTTTGTGGTTTTTTTTTTTCCAGGACTTTTCGTTATGGAGATACTATTAACTGATTTGGATTTGTTATGCCAGCATGTCTGTTTTTTTTTTTTTTTTCTTTAAGAATGGAAAATTGGTTGCTGCAGTTTCTAATAACACCGTCCAAGTCTATACATTCCCTGAAGGAGTTCCTGATGGCATATTAACACGCTTCACTACAAATGCAAACCATGTGGTCTTCAGTAATGATGGCAGTAAGATTGCTGCTGGGTCAAGGTGAGCTCAGCTCCCACACACTGTTTGAAGGGAGATAGTTTTAGGATACCATCCACCTTTATTGTTGTTGCCAAGTCTTTAATAAAGCTTTTGGAGGACAGACTTGTGATTTAAAATATATATTGCTTTTAGAACTGAAAAAGATCAGAGAAAGAGGATAACGTGTTACAAATTTAATAACTTATTTTTACGTAGAATCAAAAGCAGGATTTCTGCAGAATCTCTCTCTCTCTCTCTCTCTTGGTTTTTGAGACAGGGTTTCTCTGTGTATGTAGCCCTGGCTGTCGGAGAACTCTCTATAGATCAGGCTTGCTTCTACTCGTAAGGTCTGGGTCTAAAGGTATACCACCACACCCAGCTTCTGCACAAGTCCTTAATCCTCCTTATAAGAAAAATAAAATAAACTTATTGAATGCTGAGGTGGGGCGTGATAGATAGAACTTTCTAAACTCGTTCTAACTGTTAATTAGACTGGCAATAGAAGCTTAGAAGTATCCAGAGAAGCCATTTAGGCAGTGCTTGTATTTTAACAAGGTAAGAAGTTTTGACTTGGATTTTCAGAATTTTTATTGAACAAAATGAAACAGTAAGTTATTAAGTTTGGGTGATAGTTTGCAAGTTGTTTTAAAATTTATAGCATTCACTATATTGGTTTTTATTGCCATTTATTCATGTGATTCCTCTTACCGGTTTATAGTGATTTTCTGGTGAAAGTTGTGGACGTGATGGATAACAGCCAGCAGCAAACATTTAGAGGACATGATGCCCCTGTTTTAAGTCTGTCTTTTGATCCTAAGGATATCTTTCTGGTAATTCTTTCATTCCTTTGTCATTTTATTGGATATGTGTAAAGCTATTGGCAGAAAGTTTTGTCCTATTGGTAAAAGACTTTAATCAGCTGAACCAATTTCTATGTGATATTATACCCATAATAATTATACATAGTAGAGATAATATATATAATATAATTATAGAGAATTTTTTTTTTTAAATTTCTACAGGCATCAGCTAGTTGTGATGGAACTGTCAGAGTATGGAATGTTTCTGACCAGGTAAATTAGTAAATTGAAATTCAAAACATTTTGTCCATTTCTATGATATTTTGAGTGTTGCATATTATATTATTGATCCAAAGTAGTTGTTTATCTTTTTAATATGTTTCTTTGCATAGCATTAAGCATTACCTTTATTATTCCAAAATAATCTGATATAAACATAAATATATTGAGTGTTGAACAATCACAAGCTCACAGAAGGAACTATAAATAGTATTTAACTTTTAAGGTTGATAAATTAGAGGGGGCAAGTTAGTCATTATAGATTTAGAAGATAACTACTGTGTTTGGGCTTGTATTAATGTTGCTAATAGAGAAATAAATAAGACAGAGGCTATAATAAGGCTAAGGAATAGCCTTAGAAGTTGCTATCCCTCATAGACCAGCAAGAGTAAAGTCTGTTGCCAGCTTAAACCTTGGCCGAATTAGTTCTGGCTTTGATAATGTCATGCCTTAACATTATGGGAGACCTCTCAAGATTTTTTCATTTTTGTTGGCATGTCTATTTTAATTTATGGAAGGTCATTTTGGTTTGGGAAAGTCTTGATTGCTTCATGTGCACAGAAAATGTTCTTGTGTAAGATTTATGCTGTTCTTGTATCTGAAAAATTTAAAACAGTATAGGCTAACTATACTAACAGTGATAGTTAAAGTGTATTAAGTTGCTTTTCCCCAAGACATAGCAAGTAAAGGAAACCACCTGTTCGATCTCGGTTTTGCATCTATTCTGAGAGAAAGTTTTGATACAGAGAAGTGAGTTTGTTCTCTTTAAAATCAGACATGTGCTGTTAGTTGGCCAGTACTCCAAAAGTGCAGTGGCGTGGTGAATGCAAAGGCCGTCTGCAGACTTGCTTGGCAACCCAAGACCGGCAAAGTAAGTGCTGCTCACTTTCAGCCCTACATGATTTCTTTTACTGCGAAATGTTTGTTTTTATTGTGACTTTATTTGCATTTTATATTTTAGAACTCCAAGCCAAGCAATTAATCCTGAAGTGCCTCGAGAAGCATTTCCAACTTTTCAATTTTTTATTGTGTGTATGAATACGATTTGGGGTACATGCATGCATGCCATGACTTGCTTGTAGAGAGGACAGCAGACAACTTTTAAAAAGAGTCTATGAAAGTTGAGGTGTGGGCTGGCAAGATATCTCTATGGGGTTAATAACGCTTGTTAGGAGAGGATAAATGTTTCCTTGGGCTCATAAAAGTGAGAGGATGGATTTTTTTTTCCAAATTGTATATTTTACATGAACTGTTTTCATATTTTTCCCATTAATGCTTAATGGAACAACTCTGAAACAGGATTATATTAGTGTTGAATACTCAGAATAGATGACTCAGTGATACATCTAGGTATATTCTGTAAGTATATTTATACACATGCATTACACTATATGTATAACAAAAAAAATATACCAATCTATGAGATTGCAAATGTCTTAGGTGTTCATTTATAGGGAAGTGGTTAAATAAATTTTGGTAGTCCTGAAAGTAACATTCTTTCTAATGGTTAGAATGAGAAATATCTTTTATGAAATAGACTTTAAGATACATTAAGAACAAACCACTAAGCTACAAAATTGTAGGTATAGATGGAATGATAATACTTATTAGTAAAGAAATACTTGTAAATATGATTGCTTAAACATATACATACGTATGCATTCTTTTTTGTTTTATTTTGAAAGGGCACTCATGATCAGGCTTGCTATGTAGCTCATTCTTGCTTCTGCCTCTGAATGCTAAGATTACAGGCTTGCAAGCATCCTGCTCACATTTGTACTTTTAAAGTCGGCTTATATTTGCTTTTATGAGTAGAATTGGTTATGATTTGGACTTTGAGGACAGGCTCTTCCTTGTGGAGCTTGTGACTATTTCCTCTTTGACACAGGACCGGCTGTGTAGCCCAGGCTACTTTGAAGTCAGAATTCCCCTGCCTCTTTCTAAATGCTGCGATTATAGGGATGTTTAATGGGCGTGCTTTATTTTGAAGAGGGGCTCATGACCAAGCTCGTGGTGTGCTTTCATAGGGTAAGTGAGCCCTGAGAATGAAGATACAGCCAGGGAGCTGCCCACGCCTGTGATCCTAGCACTCAGAGAGCAGAGGCAGGCGCTTTCTGAGTTCAAGGCCGGCCTGGTCTACAGAACGAGCCCAGGATAGCCAAGGCTGCACAGAGAAACCTGTCTTAACAAAACAACAACAAAAACATCTTAACAAAATAAATTAAAGAAGTAGTTTAAAATGTAGTTAAGGGCCAGTGGGATGGCTCAGTGGCTAAAAGTACTTGCTGCTCAGGAGCCAGCCAGGTGGCAGGGGAGAACAGACTCTGGAGAGTTGTTCTCTGGCCTCCGTGTGCGCACTGAAGCATGCTGGCTCTCTCACACGCGCACACATGATATTTAATATATGCGCTAGCCGCTACACTACTGCTTTGCTTTCTATTGAGAGGAACAGAACGATGGTCACGTACGGTTCTTCTTATCAAAACTGCACATGAAGTGACTTTTGAGGTTTGTTAGTAATCGAAATTAAAATTTGCTTTTGTATCTTGTAAATTTAGCAAATTTACAGTGCTGTTGAGTTTATGTAACTTTGTCTTTCCCAATAGTTACTAGCAGTTCCTGTGGAGAAATGTGTTAAGATGTACAGAAGAGAAACTTGGAGTAACCCATTTGATCTTTCAGATAGTTCTGTCTCTCAGGTAGGTTTTGTGACACATGGAGTAGTAAGTATAGAGAAGATTTAATGCACACTTCACTAAAACCAGTTGTCAGATATGAGGTGTGTGGGCTGCAGGGATGGCTTAGTGGCTAAGAGTCCTGGCTACTCTTCCAGAGCACCCAGGTTTGAGTCCTATCAGCCACATGCTGACTAACAACCATCTGTATGTAACTCCAGTTTCAGAGTATCTGATGATCTCTTTTGCTTTCCACGGAATACATGCAGATGGAACACAGGCATACATGCAAGCAAAATACCTATACACATACAAATAAGCTAAATTTTAAAAATGAGTTTATAGGAAGTAAAATTGCCCTTAATGCTAAGCATTGATACATTTAATCGCAGCACTCAGAGGCATTGGCAGGTGGATCTCTGAGTCTAAGGCCAGCCTGGTCTACAGAGTGAGTTCTAGGATAGACAGGGCTGCACAGAGAAACCCTGTCTTGAAAACAACAACAACAACAATTACCCTTAGCTTGATACTAGAGTAAATTAATTATTGATTTGTTTATTTATTTGTTCGTTTACTTATTTTGGTTTTTTTGAGGCAGGGTTTCTCTATGTAGTCTTGGCTCTGCTAGACTCACTTTGTAGACCAGGCTGACTGCAAACTCACCAAGATCCGCCTGCCTCTGCTTCTTTGAGTATTGGGATTACAGGCATGAGTTCAGCTTAATTATTGAATTTTTATTGTGAATTTCAATAAGACTTGTGATTCTAGTCTCCAGAACTTTAGCAGAAGAAAGATTGTGAGGTTTCATTTATTTATTTTTTAAAGATTTATTTTTGTTTTGTTTCTGTTTTTCAGCCAGTCTCTCACCACATGGCCCTGTCTGGTCTACAGCCAGGCTGTCCTTGAACTCATAAAGATCCACCTGCCTTAGCCTTACTAGAATTAAAGATGTTTGCCATGGCTGGCTAGACTTAACTCTTTTTTTTTTTTTTTTGAAATTTAATTTTTTTTTTCTTTAAGATTTATTCTTTTTTATTTTAAGTGTATACATTTTTTGTCTGCGTGTAAATGGACTGTGTATATGCTTGGTGCTTGAGGAGGCCAGAAGAGGGCTCTTGATCCCCTGGAACTGGAGTTCGGGATGGTTGTAAGCTGCCTTGTGGGTACAGAGAACTGAACCCAGATCCTCTGCAAAAGCAGCCAGTGCTTCTAACTGCTGAGCCACCTCTCCAGCACCTTGTTATTTTTCTTATTCTTTCTCTATCTCTCATTTCTACTAAGTTTTAGGTCAAAATATTACTCTTCTACATTTGCTCACCTACACTCATATATGTGTTTTTTTTTTTTTTTTGTTTTTTTTTTTTTTTTTCAGTTAAAAGCTCAGGGTCTGAACAGTAACTTGCTGAGGTTCACCTCACTTACTGGTTGTCTTCATGTCTTTTTTTTTTTTTCTTTTCTTTTCTTTTTCCACAGTATGTCTTTGTCTTTATCTTAATGGTGAATGTCAGGAGAATTCCCAGTAGATTTTTGTTGTTGTTGTTGTTTGGTTTTTTTTTTTTTTTTTTGGATGGTAACATTGTTTTATATTTCATTTTTAAAATTAAGCAGGTATTAATTTTCTGTTGGCTAACAAAATGATATATGCTAATAGCTGAAAATTATTGAAAAAGATTAAAAATAAATACACTTTACTGCATTGTATATATCAAATGTAATTAGAATAACTGAGAGTAGAGATTTTAAACTATTTGGGGTAATAAAACGAATAGTTTCAAAATGTACAACATTATTATTAACTGTTTTTTTGTAGGCACTCAATATAGTAACCTGGTCTCCCTGTGGGCAGTATTTGGCTGCAGGTACTATTAATGGCTTAATTGTAGTTTGGAATGTGGAAACCAAAGACTGCATGGAAAGGTACAGTTTATTGTTTTTGTTTAATTAGGAAGCGTTTGTACATTTTGACTGTTATTCCAAATGAAAATAGCTCTTCGAGTGAAAACCATTACATTTTTATATGTATTTGCTCATTTACCATGTATGTGCATGTCTTAGCGCATGCGTGCCACACTGTACAGTGGTGATCGGAGGACATTGCGTGAGTAAGTTCTCTCCTCCCATTGGGGGGTTCTAGAGGTCAAACCCAGGCTGACAAGTGTCCACACACACTGAACCGTCTCACTGCCGCCATGTGCTCCTTACAGATGGGAATTTCCCTAGACAGTAAGGAAATGTGCAGTTTTTGTCCTGGACGCGCTGAGGACTAAGTACGTGCTAGACAAGGGCTGTTTGCTACTGAGTCACAGTCTCTGCTCCAGCTGACTGTACCCTTAAGTCCACTTTTTCCTTTTTAGGGTAAAACACGAGAAAGGCTATGCGATTTGTGGCCTGGCCTGGCATCCTACCTGTGGTAGAATATGTTACACTGATGTGGAAGGGAACCTCGGGGTCCTGGAAAATGTCTGTGACCTCAGTGGAAAGGTGTCAAGCAATAAGGTAATGTGTGGTATGCGAGGACGGTTTCGTCCAGGGGTTTCTGCACTTGTATGGATTTAGAAAATGTGTCATAAACCACCTCATCTTCTTGTGAAATTCCAGTTTATGGTTCTGTCTTAGCAGTTTAGTAATCATCTATAATAGAACATTTCTCAAATATATTTTGCAAGTAAGAATTGTTTCCTTCATTTAATGCTTTTTCTTTATTTCTTTGTAAATTACTATCTGTACATTTTGTATGAGGATTGTTAAATATTTTAGAGAAAAAACTTAAAATTTAATAACTGAATTAGATCTCAGTCGGCTTATAAACTCTTGAGTCAGGCTCTACTCTTGAGCCTGCTGGCTACCTCCTCTGCTTGGTCACAAAACTTTATTAGAGTTGGTGGCTTTGTTTATATCTCCTTGCCTTTGTTGGTTCATGCTCCTTGACAAAGGTGCCTTTTCGTATTTCAAGTTTTAGTGTGGACTTCTACTTGAAGGTTGTAGACTGAATGTTCTTCTCAAAAACCCTATTAAAATGAAATTAGATAACTTTTTAATGTAAGGAATCACATAGGGTAAAGAAAACAATTGAAGTAATGGTAGAAATAAAATTTTGCAGAGTAAAAACACAAGAGATTGTGTTAAGTAGGTTTTCAGAAATTTGGATCTTAATCTTACAATGGTGGAAAACCTAGGTACAACCAGCTTGTGTGACTAGATCCCTAAAGATTCAGAACCTAGCCACATTAGGCACTTCCAAATGTGAGGCTGACGGCAATAGGCTGATTTAATGATTTCATAAATCCTCCTACTTTAGCAGATGTTAGAAATTTGTTCTCTAGGAAGGGAAAATGGAGAAGGTACTTGGTTCAGGAATTGTACGTATAATTGAGTATATTAGATTAGGGGAGGTTTGGAAATACTGTACTAAAAATGGGTTTGCATGAAAGTGGTGAATATTCATGCCTGAATATTAAAATTCCCAGTTCACTTGTATGTGACTCTTAAAGATTGTCAGTTTGTATTGGGCTTTTCAGATATCTTTCCAACAGAAAAGACCTAAGGAGAAGGAAATCTTAGCTCCAGGACCAAGATGTCCTTGAAAGGAAAAGTGATGAATGAAATACGCCAGTGGACTAAAGCTAGATGTAGTGCTATGGCCTAGGGTTATTGTAAGGACTGGATAAGTCACGTGCTGCTAAGGGTGTGCAGCACAGCACTTTATATATGTTGGCTAGCACCAGTCTATCACAGTTTTTATTTAGCCACAGAGAGCTTGCGTGACGTTAGGAGCCGAAATACTCTGCATTGGTTAAGTCAAAGTGAGCGTATGTCCATCCATATTGAGAGGATCGGGGTTGGTGAATACTGAACCTATGTACTTGGAGTGCAGGTAGTTGTAAAAGGTCAGCCAATTCTCATTTTCCATAGAAGGAAGTTCATAGGGTATGTTAAACAGATGGATAAAAATGGGAAAATTTTTGAAGTAGCACTTGAATATTGCTTACAAGCCTAGAAGACACTACTCAATAAAACACTAAAGGCCTGGAGTGGTTGCACACGCTTTTAATCTCGATGTTTGGAAGGCAGAGACAGATCTCTGAACTTGAGGCCAGCCTGGGATATACAGTGAGACACTATACTCTGCAAAGAAGTCGGTGTGCTTGTGCAGAGGGTTGTATTCAGTTTTTTCATGTACCTTATAAGGCTGTTTGACTAACATAAACACACATATACAACCTTTATCACAAAAGGTACGCTGTTGAGATGGGTGAAGGCGTGCAAGCCTGATAATCTGAGTTTGATCCACATGGTGGAAGGGGAGAACGACTCCTACAAATTTTCCTTTACTTCCACAAGTACATCTTGCCCACCACACAAAACAAATTTTTTAAAGTAAATTAAAATAATTTTAGCTAGGTATGGTGGTGCATGCCTGTAGCCCAAGCTCCTCATGGTGCTGATGCAGAAGTGTCACAGTTTGAAGGGCTGCCGAGGTCACAAATTCAAGCCAGCGTGGGCAACTCAGTGAGACTGTCTCAGAACAATAAGACAGGAAATTTCAGTCCAAAGCACTCTTGAGAATCCTTAATTCTATTCACAATTGAATATTCTTCCCAGTTTGGTTTATGAGGCATAGTACATATTTCTCTCTTAATTTACCGTAAATGCTAGGCAAAACTTAATTTTTTTCCTAATAAGGAAATTCTAAGATGTTCTTGGCTAACTTTTGTTCATAAAACTTAAGGATGTTACTGGAATAGTTAAAATAATAGCATATAGCATCTAGTTATTAATTCAGTTACTCATTAAATCATATTTAAATATATGAGTTTGGTGATACTTTTTCTATTCTACTTATTAAATAGTAGTTTCCTTATAATTACATTTACTTCCATCCTAAAGATTTGTGATATATTGCTTTTTAATCCTTTACCAATGTTTTGATTAGAATCTGGTGGTACAAACGTGTCAGTGTGCACTAACATTTTATGGCTTTACTGGCCTTATAGGAATAACTTGTAGCCTTTGCAGTGTATCTGTTCACTATTTCACCTTGTAGTGATCTGAAAGCTTGTTAATAATACCTGACTCATGAAATGTGTTCACATTCCTAGGAACTGGTAATTAAATCTCTGTTTTCTTTATCTCTTGTGTTTCTCTTTGTTCCATTATGTTATTTCTATAAGCATATAAAAAATCATAAGCCTTTAGAGGGTTGGTCTAAAGTAAGTGTGCTTTTGCCTAAGTAATATCTTGTTCAAATATGAAGTAAATCAGAAGTCAGGCAGACTGCGGCCTCCCTGTGACCCAAGCACTTGGAGAGCTGAGGCAGGAGGATCAAGAGCTGCAGGCCGGCATAGTGAGTCCCTCTGTCAGTCCCCATTTGTACAGAAGAGAGTTTGTGCTACAATACAACTGAGAAATTTGTGTGACTTTATCATAGTCATGGTGATTTTTATTCTGGAAAACGAACTTTGAGGTATAAACTTTTGCTTGTATTTTGGCACATTTTTTGTTCTGTGTCCTTTTTTGAAGAGGACTGTTAATTTTTGACAAGCTCAGCAGAATATCCAACTGTACCTGGTTTAATGGGGTTCCCCTGGGGATTTTGTCTGGTGCCCAAGGCTTGACTCAAGTGATAAACCCAGGATTTGCTTTTAGGTACTTTGGTAGGTGTTGAAGCAGCTAGAATCACATGAGGTCTCTCCCAAGGTGGGTTTGGAATTGTAGTATCTGCTCTCTTCTCAGAAGGAGCTTCCTTTTCTGGCTGTTCCTAAATTTTATTTATGAATTAGTACAATATATTCCAGATCAATGCATTCTAATCTTCCTCTCCCTTTTCATCCTGGTTAATTGAGAAGGAAAGTGATTCATGACTCTTTACTGTTAGTGTGTAACCAGTCACAGAATTTTCTTCAATTAAAAAAAAATAAACAATATGTTTATTCATCAACATGATACAAGTTAGAGTTATAGTATACAGTGAAAAAAACAAAACAAAATTCTCAATGTTTTCATTCAGTGTCACCTTCCTGACATGTTACTCTGAGATTCAGGGACAGTGAATCAGCATTCTCAGTTATTCTCAAGAGATTTCAAAATTATGATATTTGGAACATACTTCTAGTAATCTTTACGTTCTGTAATTTGATTAGCTAAAATTCTTATTTTAAGAATAAAACACAGTAGTAGTACTTACAAGGAACTATACATTGCATAAGAACATTCAGTGAAAAACATAATTTAAAATTCAGGCACCTCCTGGGACCATATATGGACCCTGCCCATTTAAAGGTTTATTTTGCATTGAAAATGTTATGCTGGGAAAGAACATTTAGAGGGCATACACAAAGTGTGCGGTGTGTGTGTGAATTCATAGGAAATGTTTTCCTTTATATATATTGTGGTGATGTATTTCAAATACATTTGAGAAAAGGCACCGTGGAACTCACAGTGATCTTACTCTGCTTTTTCCGATGGCCACAGCACTTCTACCAGATTCCTAGCTTTCCCCTTCACTTTGGTTCTCCCCTGGAGGAACTGCTTGAAACTGGCAGCATCCATGATTCTGTCGTCCATAGGGTAGATGCAGTCAAGAATGAACTTCAAAACCTGCTTCTTTTCTGATCCCTGCTAACCCTCCTTTACAGCAAGCTTTTTCCCCGGACACCATGGCAGTGTAGGCTTCCGTAGTGTCCCTTCATGGCCACTACATGCAATCCCGGAAATTGGAGTCCCTTTCGTGCATTCTTGGTCTTCTGAATAACAGGCTTTAAAATGGACTTAGGAGGAAGCTGGAGGAGTATCTTATTAGTGCTTGAAGAAAAACAATAGTAAGCAAGCTAGAGATGCTGAGAGGAGGGGGATGGAAAAGAGAGACTTATGCTCTTCAATTAGGCACAGAGGTCAGCAAGCGGCTGGAGAAAGGTATGAGGGTGGGTTGGGCATCTCCAGAGAAACTGAGAAAGCCCAGAGTGTCAGGGAAAGTATACCTAAGCCTTTTAGTCAGTATCTGAACAAGAAGTGAAGAGTTACATTTGTTTGTTTTGTTTTTCTAGACAGGATTTCTCTGGGTAGGCTTGGCTGTCCTGGACTCACTCTGTAGACCAGGACTAATCTCAGACTCACAGAGATCCACCTGTCTCTACCTCCCTGAGTGCTGGGAATACGTGTGTGTACCACCAGGCAGTTACCTTTTTTTTTTTTTTTTTTTTTTTGAGTCAAAAAAGCAAGCAGGCTTAGCAGGGCCAAATGGTGATACAGCTCTTTAAGTAGCTGCCTGTGTATGATATTCACTTCATGTCTATCTTTGTGATCCTGACCTGTCCCCAGAGCACAAGGCATTTAAAGTAAATAATGTATATGCTAATCATTCTTTTTCTTTAAAAATTTATTTATTTGTTATGTATCCATTATTCTGCTTGCATGTACACCTGTATTCCAGAAGAGAACACCAGATCTCATTATAGATGGTTGTGAGCCACCATGTGGTTGCTGGGAACTGAACTCAGGACCTCTGGAAGAGCAGCCAGTGCTCTTAACCTCTGAGCCATCTCCCCAGCACCCCTCATTCTTAAATCATAGGTATGCACTTATGTTTTTAGAAGCTGGGTGTGTTGGTGGCTGGCTGTAATCCCAGCACTCGGTAGGTAGAGGCAGCAGGATCAGAAATTTCAGGTCAGCCTCTCAGTAACGGTAAGTTTGAGGCCATATGGGATCTAGGAGACAGTGTTTGAAAAAAACAAAACACAAAAAGGTTGCCCTTGGGATATAGTGCGAGGTGTTGAGTTTATCTCTACTGCATTAACAGAAGAAAAAGAGAGAAAGAGCTACCTTTTGCTTAATTGTGTTTTTCTAAATTATTTACTAATATGTTCTAATTTAATTTTTCAAGGTATCTAGTAAAGTGGAAAAGGACTACAATGACCTTTTTGATGGAGATGATACAAGCAGTGCTGGCGATTTTCTAAATGACAATGCAGTTGAGATTCCTTCTTTTTCAAAAGGAATTAGAAATGATGATGAGGATGATAATGACCTCATGCTGGCTGTGGATCGTCTTAGACACCGAAGTCATGTCTTGACAGATGATGAAAACTCAGTTGGTATGAATTTAGCTTTGTACATGTGATAATCTCTTTGCTGATTAGTTTTCCAAATGTTATTAAAACCTATCATAGATGGCTTAATTAGTGTTTAGAGCTCCTTTCTAAACCCTATTTAAAACATTTCAAATCAACAATCTAAGCTTCTTTAACAAACTATAAAAGAAGTTCTACCCCAAACAAAAAGGAAGTAATCGAGATTAGCTCAATTAGGTCGACAATAGAAAAGTTAGAGAGAGGATAGAGGTGCTTATCCTCAGCCTCATAACCTGAATTTGATTCCCGATTCCACAAGGTAGCAGGAGAGAACTCACTCCCGGGGTCATCCTCTGACCCCCTCACATGTGCCATAGCATGTACGCATCTGCACTCAAAGACATACAAATCTAAATTAAAGACACAAACACTGGGCCAGGAAGATGGCCTGTCCCATAAAAGCTCCTGCTGTTAAACTGACAGGCTGAATTCAGTCTTGTGTACATGCGAACACTTTTACCCTCCAGGCCATCTCCACAGCCCCAGCTTTCAAGAACGTTGTGATTTGTGTGTGTGCATGTCACAGCATACATGGGGTTGGTCCTCTCTCACCAGCTTTCCATGGATTCTGGGGATTGAGCTTAGGTTACCTGTTTGCGCAGCAAGCTAATTAATTTTTGAGTCCTCTCACTGGTTCACCCAGAACTTTTTTAAAAAAGAAATTCTATAAAAATCAAGTAGTAGTAAAATGACTTTTTTATAAGTGGTGGTAGCTGACAATGCAGTGACGACTAATAAAGGTTGGTATTGTTACTTAGATTAACATAAGGCACTCTCAGTTCTGCCTCGCAGGACTTTTGAATTATCACCACATTCTTTGAGTACGGTGCAAGAGGCGAGTAGTGTGTCAGCTGTCCCTAAGTCCACGTAGAAACATCATTACAATGCTTTTCTTTTTCTAGGTTGTTAATTTTATGATTATCTTATAATCCTTTGTACTGTAGATGCTACAATGCTAAGAACTAATCTTCATAAAGAGGAAGAGGAAGATGATCAAGCAGACAGTATTCACAATGTCCCCCTTATAAAGCCCCAAGGGCCATTTTATGATGGGCCCTTGCCAACACCCCGACAAAAGCCATTCCAGTCAAGCTCTACACCTTTGCATCTCTCTCACAGATTCATGGTAAGCCTTGCTCTACAACTAACTCTTAAGTCATTCTCCAGCATTGCTTCTTCCCTGCACTTTATTGATAGATTAGGAAATAATTTTTAAAACCTTGCTTAAGGGGATAGAGCATTTGGTCGATTATAATTTTATGGTAGGTTTATTTCATGGTTAAATAAAATTTTTAATTTTATTTCAATATTATTGAAAAGTTTGGTAATTCTGTTTTACAAAATGAAATAGTCTGAAAACATGACTATATATCTTATCATAACTTGTTAAGAGTATTTTTAACCTTATTTCTCAGAATCTCACTAATTAGCCTAGCACTCACTACGTACACCAGATTGACCTCAAATAATTTGTGATAGCTTTCAGACCCTGCCTCCTGAGTGCTGGGGTTGTAGATATGTACCACCATGCCTCTGTCTGTGTGTCTGTGTGTGTGTATTTGGATTCTAAAACACTTTTTAGATGTCTTTAGAAGTCAATTTTTTGGGGTGTGTATTGTTTGTTTTTCAAGACAGGGTTTCTCTGTGTAGCCCCGGCTGTACTGGAACTCACTAGATCAGGCTGGCCTCAGACTCAGATCCACCTGCCTCTGCCTCCCCAACCCCTCCCAAGTGCTGGGATTAAAGGTGTGCGCCACCACTGCTGGTCTTTAGAAGCAGTTCTTACTAGATGGTAATGAGTACGGTAAAAAGAGCTCTTTACCCTGTTCGCAGGGATGTAAGGTCCATTAGAACAGAGACCGCTCTTACTAAAATGTAGCTTCTTAGGAGCTTAGTGGTTATGAACAGTAGCTATACTCAATTCCCAACACCCACATGGCAGCTTAAAACTGTAATTCCAGTCCCATGGAATCGAATGTCCTCTTCTGGCTTCCACAGTGATACACAAACAAAATACCCACACACATAAAATTTTATTTTATTTTTTTAATTTCATTTGAGACAGGGTTTCTCTTTGTAGTCTTGCAGTCCTGGAACTCACTCTGTAGGCCAGAGTGAAACTCTACCTGCCTCTGCCTCCCAAGTACTGAGATTAAAGGCGCATACCACCACTCCCTGGCAGCTTTTAAAATTTTTTAAAATTAAAAAAGAAAACCTAATATAGTATTTAAAGCAAGGCATAACACTGTAGACATTAAGCATGTTTTTTGATGAATGAACATACCAGCTTTTTGCTCTATGTTTGAGAGCTTGAAAAGTTGAGTATGTTATTTGATGTTTTCTATTCTGCAAATTTTGTTAGGTGTTTTTGTTAAAGATATAGTCCTGACATAAATACTTGTAAAAATAGGAAGAGTGGCATTTCATAATAAAACTTTATTGTTATTGAGAATCTTCACTGAGTAATACATCTTAGCGTCAATATTTTACTTATAGATACGTTTAACAGTATGCTCTTCTGGTGATGGTGGGCACCAGACACACACGGTAAGCATACATACATGCAGGCAGGCAAAACACTCATATACATTAGAAAGAAGGAGAGGAAGGGAGACAGACAAAACAGACAAGGATCCTATGGTGTACATCAGTATAGTGGGAGCCTATAGTGTACACAGTGGAAAATAAACTTTCCAAATGTTACTAATTTGTACTGTTTTATAATTTATATATTTATCCTATAACAAACCAGTTATTTGAACAGAAAAATAAATCTGTTGTCATTTGCATCCCTATTTGTATGGGAACTCAAAGTTTGAGGTGTTCGTTTGAAAGAATGTAATGATTTTGTTATTGAAAGGCTAGTTCTAAGTACTTTATTAATTATAAAAACTACTAGTGTAGTTTTTAAAATGTTAAACATTCCATTTGTTAATTGATTATGTGACCTTTTTATAAAGGAAAGAATAGTTAGTAATTGTAGCTCTAATATTACTATTGCTTTCTGAAGCTATGCTTGAGTTAGAAAAAAATGTGGTAACTTTAGGTACAGACTGAGTTAAAGGATTGCCAGCCTGTGTTCTCGTAGTGTATATAGTCTTAGAGTTTCTGGTTTTTTACCTGATTTTGTATACCCGTAGGTGTGGAACTCTGTTGGGATTATTCGCTGCTACAACGATGATCAAGATAGTGCCATAGATGTGGAATTCCATGACACCTCCATCCACCACGCAACACACCTATCGAATGCTTTCAATTACACAATGGGAACTCTTTCCCATGAAGCTATTTTGTTGGCCTGTGAAGGTGCTGATGAATTAGCAAGGTAAATAGGGAGAATCTGGCATTGTTAAACGGTTAGATCAAATTGTATCTTTTATAGTATGAAATACCAGAAACTAGAACTGGGTGTAAACACCTCAGAATGTGTTTTGCTCTAGTTGTCTCCTTATTATATTTTATGTTGAATAGTAGTTGTTATTATTATAACAGCAACATTAATAGAACACTCAGAAAATGAAAGTTCCCTTCATTTCCTAAAGAAAATCCCCTTTAGCATTCTTCCAGAATTAATACTGGAAAGCAGGTGATGGTGACACATGTCTTTAATCTCAGCACTTGGGAGGCAGAAGCAGGAGGATCTCTTGAGTTCAAGGCCAGCCTGGTCTACAAAGTGAGTTGTAAGACAGCCAGGGCTACACAGAGAAACCCTGTCCCCCAAAAAACAAACCCAAAAGAATTAATAATTAGATATATATCCTTCTTGAGATCTCTCTGTATGAACCTTTCTTTAAATTTAGTTTATTGTGTAATTTCTATACAATAAAATGTAACTATACTTCAGGTTGATGAGTTGACAAAAGTTATATACACTTGTAAGTAACCACTACAAAATGTAGAATATTTTTTATTATCTGAAAAGCTTTTATATTTCTTAGAATTAATTCAGTACTGGTATTGGATTTTTAGCCTCAGGGTTGTTTGTTTGTTTGGGGCTTTTGTTTTGTTTTGTTTTGCCATAGATTAGATTTGAAATCTTTCTTATTGGAAAAGAAAATTTTCAAAGGAAGGTAATATCAAAATGTAATACTTATCAAGTTTTCTCTTTTGCTTAGTGGATCATGGGCTAGTTTACATAAGAAAATTTTCAAAGGAAGGTAATATCAAAATGTAATACTTATCAAGTTTTCTCTTTTGCTTAGTGGATCATGGGCTAGTTTACATGGTTTACTAGGTAGATCGATATCCTTTTTTTGTTTTGCTTATTGTGATTACTATTTCTTTCCTTTTGGTCTTTCCTGTTAATTCTTTTCTAAAATGGGAACTGTTATTTATGGTTTGATACTTTGTATTGTTTTTATTTTTTATATTAATTACAGTTTACTTTGTATCTTTTAAAGTCTTGGTTGTTTTGTTTTGTGCACTTACAGTATAGAAACACTTTATAGCCCTTACCTCCAGTTTTCCATTTAATATTATGTTGTGGATGTGTCCTATATCTTCAAATACACTTAAAAATATGAGTTAACGGTATTAATGTAGATCATTTTAAGTTTATTTCATGGGCTTGGGATGTAACACATTCATAGAGTGTTTATTACCTTCAAGACAGTGGTTGTATCCCTGGTACCAGACATGTACATGCACATACCAAATAAATTTTTTTTTTTTTTTTTTTTTTTTTTGAGATAGGGTTTCTCTATGTAGCCTTGGCTGTCTTGCACTTGCTTTGTAAACCAGGCTGGCCTCTGGGTCCCTGAGTGCTGGGTTTACAGGTGTGTACTGCTGCACCTGGCTCATAATTTTTTATTTTTTTTAAACCAGTTTCAGTAATAAAAAAGAAAAATAAACTTTGACATGATTAGTTATATATAAAAATATCCCCTATAACTTGGGGTGGTGCACTCCTTTAATCTCAGCACTCTGGAGTTAGAGGTAAGTGGATCTCTATGAGTTTGAGGTCAGCTTGGTCTACAAAGCAAGTTCCCAGACAGCCAGGGCTACACAGAGAAACCCTGTCTTAGGGAAGGGGGAAAAAATCACATACAAAAATGTGGTTGTTTCTGTCTGTTGTTGTTGTTTTTTTTTTTTTTTTTAGCAAGCTCCACTGCCTACACTTTAGTTCTTGGGACTCAAGCAAAGAGTGGATGGTAGATATGCCTCAGAATGAGGATATTGAAGCCATATGTCTTGGTCAAGGATGGGCCGCTGCTGCCACCACTGCTTTGCTCCTTCGGTTATTTACTATTGGAGGTGTTCAGAAAGAAGTCTTCTGCCTTCCCGGACCTGTGGTATCAATGGCAGGACATGGAGAGCAACTTTGCATTGTTTATCATAGAGGTAGGTTTTTCTTTGTCTTACATAATAGCATAACTTAAATAAAATGGAAACTGCTTGAGGTTCTTTGTTACTGACTTCATTTTGTTTTCGATTGTATACCTCCTTTTGCACTTATTAAGTATTTTCATCATTGTATTCTTTGAATGTAGATAATGTTGCTATATTGGTGAGCAAAAAAAAAAAAAATAATAATAATACAAGGCTGCTTCACTTTATAGATTATTCCAGAGGGTATTAGGGTATTCAAAGGTAAAATCTGGTAGCGTTTAAGCTTTGGCAAGTGCACTGTTCAGTTTAAATACAGAACTAGCCTATAGCTTCTAGTGCAAAAGCTCAAAGCAACTGTGAGTGACTTTCGGAAGTTGGGAGCTCCTTTTCCTTGCTCTGTCGTTATTCCCCACCCACGTTGACACAGACCGTCATAAAGTTGCTGAAAAGGTCATTTGTTTGTTTGATTTTAAACACTCTTGTGCGAATACTGTCTTGGCTTTGTCCTTTTCAGACTTTTTTCCTCACTGACAATGCTTTTTCTCCTTTTGACTGCTCCTGGTGTGCTTAATTTTGTTGGAGCTGGCTTCACCATCCCTGGTGTTCCCCAAAGGTCAGAGCTGTGGACAGCGCAGCTACAGTAGATTTTAATAGGTTGTTCTCTGCTGCCATGCTGTAAACGTCTGCAAGCGTGACTGAAGGTATAACGGGCAACATTTACTCTTCCACTTCACCTTTAACATGCTGCTTATAGGGCTGCAGAGATGGCTCAGGTCCAGAGCACTGGCTGCTCTTCCAGAGGTCCTGAGTCCACTTCCCAGCACCCACGTGGTGGCTCACAACCAGCTATAGTGGGATCTGGCGCCCTCTTCTGACCTGCAGGCATACAAGCAGAACACTGTATAAATAATAAATAAAATTTTGCTTGCAACTCCAAATTGATATCATGATCCATATCAAAAATACAGTCTGAAAGCCAGGCGTGGTCATGCACGCCTTTGATCCCAGCATTTGGGAAGTAGAGGCAGACAGATCTCCTGCTTTCAAGGCCACCCTAGTCTATATAAAAGTTCCAGATGAGTCAGAGCTGTATAGTGAGATCCTGTCTTAGAACAAACAAAAAAGCCACCCCAAAATAGTTTGAGAAACTTGTTAGAGGATTTTATTTAAAATGTGGTTTTAAATATGTATGTCTTGTGTCTTTTAAGTTGGTATACCAGCCCTGTCTTTGGACTTTAATATTCAGTTGCTCATTTAAAGTCAGTGTGCGTGTTATAACTGGCCTTTTGTTTGTTTGTTTTTTGACAGCATTGGTTGTTCTGGAACTCATTCTGTAGACCAGGCTGTCCTCAAACTCACAGAGAGCCACTTGCCTTTGCCTTCTAAGTGCTGGGATTAAATTCATGCACCGCCACCACCTGGCTTAACAGGATCTATGAACACATCTTGGCCATATAAGTAAAACCTTTACATTTTTTTCTTCCAAACCTTCTGCTTAAACAGTTTGCTCTCCTCAGTTATTAGCTTATTAACAATTCATACTAACAGATCTTCAAGCCACACAACTACAAGCCACATAAATTCCATCTGTATGGTCAGAACATGTTTTGTTCGTGGAGTGGCCCATTCCAAGTCTGTCTCATCTCATTTCATAAACTAACACCCCAGCCATAGGGCATGTTGTACTGCTGGTCATAGTAGCCTCCACTATCTATTAGCCCTTAAGGCTGCTGCAAGTTACAGTCTGTTTTCTACAGAGCTGCCAGGATGATCTTTCAAATGCATATATCTCTTTTCTGCTTCCATTTTTCTGCCTGCATTTCATTTTTAGACTAACAAGCAAACTTGTTGCCATAACAAGGTGTCTTAGTGGTCCTGCGGGATCTGAACTTCATCTGTTTCGTCAACCTCATGCCTTTCTATTGTCTCTTGTCATGGTCATACATACGGGTCACTTGTCCTGTGAACACTTTATCCTTATTTCTATCTTAGGACCTTTCCACTAGCTCCAACTGTTCCTCTCTCATTGCACCCATCTTTTTAAATATGAGCACATAGGAGGTTATATAATGAATGGAAGTCACAAAAAAGTTTAGCAACAGTGAAAGGCTTCTAAATGCAACCATAAATTAATTTAAAGTTAAGTGTGCGGTGAGTCTTTCATGTTTGTAGCAGTGCTTGTCTCTGTTGGTCTGAATTCACTGCAGCCTGATTTCTGAATGCCCAGTGTGCACACTGTGCCCAACCGTGCCTGCCACCCCACCACCGAACACCAGCGAGCACTGCCTGAAGCAGCTGCACTAAATGTGTATGTGTACGGGGTGTTGATTGTCACATGGGAAGTTTTCAGCTCTTTTTTTCATTGTTTTGTTTGGTTTCTATATAGCCCCTGGCTGTACTCTTCCAGAAACAATGGTTTACTTATTGGAAATGAAGACAATATTTTCCTCTCTCCTTGAGCATGTAAAAATCAAATGAGGGTTGGACTGTCTCTGGATGCTTGCTTGTAAAACTTGCTACTTAGTCTCAGGACTGTGTCTGGATGCTTGCTTGTAAAACTTGCTACTTAGTCTCATAAAAAATGGTGAATGAATTTTGGTTTGGGGTTAGGACAGAGTATCCAAACATTTCTGAATGGCCCTATTACTTTATTTTCCTATTGTGCCTATTTTCCTATTTTCATGTGCCACTGAGCCAGGCAGTAGTGGCACATGCCCTTAATGACAGCACTCAGGTGGCAAAAGCAGGTGGATCTCTGAGTTCACGGCCAGTTTGATCTACAGAGAGAGTCCCAGGACAGCCGGGGCTATGAGAGAAACCCTGTCTTCAAAGCCCAATAACTGTAAATAGTAATAGTACCTGAGATAACCAGCTGGAGGATGAAAGGGTTTATCTGGCACAGTCCATCACAATGGGGATGTGAAGGCAATTGGGATTTTTAAATTAGCTGCTTACATTACATCCAGTCGAGAGGCAGAAAGTAGTCAACACATGTCTCTCAGTTCTCTTCAGTCCAGAATCATAACAAGGAAATGGTACCAACTATGTTGTCCACAAATGTTCAGTGTAATACGTTAGTCTGCTTCTAATGTATCAGAGTGATTCCTCATGTGGGTTAACCATAAATGGTGCTGTTTTAAGAATGTGTCAAGGGAGGTGGTGCCACAGGGCTTTAATCCCAGCACTGGGGAGGCAGAGGCAGGTAGGTCTCTGAGGCCAGCCTGGTCTACAAAGCGAGACCTAGGAAAGACAGAGCTACACAGAGAAACCCTGTCTCAGAGGGGAAAAAAAGTGTCACAAAGTTAATCACAGAAAAAAAATTTAGACTTGATTATGGCTGACTAACCTCTGATACATGTGCATTTCTGTAGGTACAGGATTTGATGGAGATCAGTGCCTTGGAGTTCAGCTGCTAGAGTTGGGGCAAAAGAAAAAACAGGTCTTGCATGGCGACCCTCTTCCTCTTACCAGGAAATCCTACCTTTCATGGCTAGGGTTTTCTGCTGAAGGCAAGATAATTTTTTTTATTTATTTATATTAAAGACATTTCAAGAAGAAAATAATTTCATAATTTTAGCCTTAATTGATTTAACTACTCTGTTTATGTTTAAATTTTTAATTTAAATATGTATGAAAACTATAGTTGTTAGGCATAACAGTGATTCTTTCACTATTATGAGAAAGCTTACAAAGAAAATTATGTTTTTATTATTTTTTTTTAATTTAATTAGGTTTATGTATGTGCCCAAGGAGTCTGGAAGAGGACACTGGACCCCTTGGGCTGTAGTTACAGGTGGTTGTGAGCCCCCTCTGTGTGTCCTTGGAATCAAACTATAGCCCTCTGTAAGAGTAGCTTAAGTGCTCTTAACTGAGCCACTTCTCCAGTCCTAGGAAACTATGTTTTTCTAATTTATTTATTATATAGCAATGAGGAGATACAAATCATTAATAAAAATTAATGTCTTTTCCAGTAAATTCTATACATGTTAGGAAGCTTCTAAAATTGTGCTCAATCTATGTGTGGCTCTTGAATACTTGAAATGTGGCCCGTCTGAATTGAGATATGCTATAAATATAGAACACTGAATTTGGAAGAAGGTATTGAAAAAAGTATTTAAAAAAATATCTCAGTTTAATTGACTACATACATGTTTCAGTCATAATATTTTGGCCATAATGATGAAATGCTATCATCTCTTGTTCAAAAGTACTGCGGTGGGATTAGAATTTGTATTTGTGGATCCCATGGTATTTTCCGGGCAGTGCTATCACTGACCTGTCCGCAGTGGTGTGTGAAAGATGCTTTGCGGAGGGCAGGTGATGGCATTGTGTCATCTCTTAACCAGGGTACGCAAGACACTTATCCGGTGGGCTTAAAGTAATTACTGCTATATTCCAGCAGGGGGCAGAGTTTCCACGGAAATTGGTGGGGTCCATTATGTTGTTTTGTGTTTGTTTGTTCTTTCTTTTTTCCTTGTGGGAAATTCCACTCACATGCAGAGTCTTTTCTTTAATTGGGTCTGCGTGGTAATGAGCCTTTACAGAAAGCAACCCTGAATTATCTTCCCCACCTTTTGCTTTTGAAGTTAAAAATGGAATCTTTGGCATGTATTTTGAAAGGTTTATTTAACAGTACACAGCCATAATTTCAAGTGATTTCTTTGTTGCTGGTATTTAGGTACCCCCTGTTACGTGGATTCCGAAGGCTGCGTCCGAATGCTAAACAGAGGACTTGGGAATACATGGACTCCTATATGTAATATTAGAGAGCACTGCAAGGGAAAATCTGATCACTACTGGGTAGTTGGTATCCATGAAAATCCACAGCAGCTAAGGTGGGCCATAACAAAGTTAGTTAATTTATTGACAGAGGTTGAGATAAGACCTTGTACCAGTATGCCTGGATCCAGCTGTATAAGTATATTTATTTTCTTTTCATCTTCTGCCAACTGGTGAAGTGAAAATTAAAATGTGCTCTGTCTGTATTATTGGCGCTATAAAAAGATATAAATTACTGATATATACTTATAATGCAAATGAACCTTGAAAATATTATATTAAGTAAAAGAAATAAGATCCTAAAGGACCACACATTATATGATTCCACTTATAAAAATACCCAGAATAGGTCTTCTCTAGAGACAGAATAAAGTTAACAGAAATTCCTATATTCTGTCCCTGGCATCTCTAGGCAGATTATAAGGAATAAGTCCAGAGTTATGAGCAATGTTTTGGGAGGTGGTAGTTGACATTGTGGGGATTTGAGAAGAGAAAATGCAGTCTATTTAGACAATGAAAAGTTTAATTTAGTAGAAAACCATAAGGGTTTTAATGTTTATTTCCATGTGTGCCTTTATTGAGTCTGCATAATTCCATTGTTTATATATTTAGTATTATAAACTGTATTAGTTGGCTGTGGATGTACCTTAGTGGTATTGCTTGTTTAACATGCAGGAAGTCCTGAATTCCTTCCACAATGCAGGAAAAAAACATATATTTTTAAAGATTTATTTAATACAATGTTCTGCCTATGTGTGTGCCTGCACACCTGAAGAGGGCACCAGATCTCATTCTGTATGGCTGTGAGCCACCATGTGGTTGCTGGGAATTGAATTCAGGTCCTCTGGAAGAGCAGCTAGTACTTTTAACCTCTGAGCCGTCTCTCCAGCCCCTGGAAAATATTTTTATTTTTTAAAGGAAAAAAAAAAAATGTTTGGGTATGGTGCGCAGCACACAGAGGGCAGAGGCTGGTAGATCTCAGAGGTTGAGGTCAGTCTGGTCTTCAAAGCAAGTTGTGGGTCAGCCATGTTTACATAATGAGACTGTTTTTTTTTGTTTTGCTCTGTTTTTGAGACTAAATTAGTTAACTTTTTAATCAATGTTAGGCTGTATGGCTGTCCTCAGAAATGTCTTGCAGTTCTAATTCTAAAAATCAAGTTATTTAGTAGTTTGAACTAAAAATTCATGTTACAGCTTTTTCTTTTCTTTTTTAAGATTTATTATTTTTATAGTAGTGTGCCTGCAGGCCAGAAGAGGGCACCAGGTCTCATCATAGATGGTTATGAGCCACCATGTGGTTGCTGGGAATTGAACTCAGGACCTTTGGAAGAACAGCCAGTGCTCTTTACCTCTAAGCCATCTCTCCAACCCCTTATTGTTACATCTTAATAGGGGCTTATGGATTAATTCCATGAAGAATTTTGCTAGCCTCTCTAGTGCTTACTCAAGTTAAGATGATTCATTTTGGTATTAAATGTTTTATCTTGCAAGGCCTAGTGGCACACGTCTGTAATCTCAGCAAGTTGTGAGGCAGAAGCAGGTGGGATCTCGGTGAGTTCAAGGCCAGCCTGGTCTACAAAACGAATCCAGGCCAGCCAAGGCTACCCTGTCTGGGAAAAAAAATGTTTTATTTTATTATTGAGACAGTGTCTAATATGTAGATCAGGCTGGCCTTGAACTCAGAGACCCACCTGTTTTGTTCCTGTAGTATTAGGATTAAAGATGTGCAGTTCACAACTGTGGCTGTAGCTCTCCGGGGGATCCAGTGTAGTCTTCCGGCCTCCTTGGGCACCTTACAATTTGCACAAATCCTCATTCAGACATACTCAAAATTAAAAATGAATTGTTTTTAATTTAAAAATGATTTTGAGTTTCTTGAAATTGAAGTGAGTTACAGGACAGCCAGGGTTACACAGAGAAACTTTGTCTTGAAAAACAAAAAATACCCCCTTCCCACAGAGGGCCGATGATGACTAAAGCTGCTAAAGAAAATGTATTTCTACCAGGTGTGGTGGAATTGGAGAATTGGGACTTCAGGGTTAGCCTGGGCTATCTATTGTGACTGTGGGTCAAAAATAGAAAGGAAAGAAGAAAATGAAACTGTTTAGTTTTGTGCATATTGAGGTCGGGTATTTGTATGTTTCTTGGTTTTATTTTAAATAAATACAATTTTTTTTTCAGCAGTTGGAAACTGCTACTCAGTCATTGCTTCTTCCTCCTCCTTTGAGAGGTTCTTAGGGAATTGAGGTGGCTGACTTTGAACTTACGAACTTTATGTCCTAGCCTCCCAAGTGCTGAGGCTCTAGCTGTGTGCCACTCTGCCTGTCTGTGTTATACTGTTTGTTTAAGCGCACTTAGAGATAACGGATTTCCTTTGTAAGCCTAGGGTAACTGAAAAGCAGGGGAGAAAGTCCTCCAACTCTCCTCAGTGGTCTACTGCTGTTTAATGAAACGTACCTGTCCTTGCCATCAGAGAGGAGCGTTAAAACTTCGCTTGTTCTCGGTGTTGGTGGTAAAGGTAGTGTGGGCCGTGTTACTCTGAAAGGCAGGGTGGTGCGCACATCCCCAGCTTAGTCTCTGGGTCATACTGCGTGCTGTGTAGCCAGGGCATGCTGTTTAGATTCTACCTTCTCCTCAGCTCTCGGGTAGAAAATACGCATCTCAAATTGCTGGGAAGATGGAGTGAATTTCTAAGTACAATGTACATAGGACAGTCCCTGTGTCCAAAGTGGGTGTCTATTGAGTGTTAGCTGATAAAAATAGTAATTTTTGGTTAGGTTTGGTGATTTTGAGGCAGGGTGTCACTGTGTAGCCCTGGCTGTCCTGGAACTCCCTTTTGTAGACCAGGCTGGCCTCAAACTCACAGAGATCGGCCTGCCTCTGCCTCCCAGAGTGCAGGGATTACTAATGTGTGTGTGCCACCACACCTGACTGGAAAGTGACTTTTATTAAAAATCCTAATCATATTTTTTTTCTTTGTGATAAAATCAGTAAATTATTTGAGCTGAGAAAAGTTAAAAAAAAAAAAGACAGGTCACTTTATAGACAGTGCATTTCCTAACCCAATTTAGCAGTATTTCTGCTTTCTTTTTGTTCAGGAATCCTTTAAAAAGGAATACAGTTTGTTAAAAATAATTAAAATAGTTTGTTAAAAATAATTAAAATAAGGGATGGAAATACTGTGTACTGGGAGAGTGCTCGCCATTCAATTCCCAGACTGTAAAATTAATTAATTGAGGGCTGGAGAGATGGCTGAGAGGTTAAGAGCATTGGCTGCTCTTCCAAAGGTCCTGAGTTCAATTCCCAGCAACCACTTGGTGGCTCATAATCATCTATAATGAGATCTGGTGCCCTCTTCTGGCGTGCAGGCACACATGCAGCCAGAACACTATATAAATATTTAATAAATAAATAAATCTTTAAAAAAAACTTTTTAAAATAAAATAATTGATTAATTTGTAAATTCAAAACACCTTTCTTTAATTATGAATTTAAAAATGATTGCTATAATAGAAAGAGCACCGATACGTATGTGGGGGGGGGGGGGTGGCGAGAGGCAGGTTCTCTCTATATAGCCCTGGCTGGCCTGAAACAGAGAAACCTGGCTTGGTCTGCCTTTTGCGTGCTGGGGTTGCTATCATTGCCGGGCATGTGGTGCACACCTGTAATGGCCAGCATTCTTTGAGGCAGAGGCAGGTGGATTTCTGTGAGTTTGAGGCCAGCCTGCTCTACAAAGTGAGTCCAGGACAGCCAAGGCTACACAGAGAAACCCTGTCTTGAATAATAAACAAACAAACAAAAAACTGCTCTCATTGTTCTAAAGATTTTTTTTCATTATTACTAGTAATATAACTCTGGTTAATTTATCAGTACTACAGTCTAATTTGCTATGAACAAACAGCAACCTTCCTCCCTTTGCTCTTCAGTTTGTAAAGATTTTTTTTTTTCTTAGATGAACCTAAAAGTAAATTTGTTTTAATTTTTTATTGTCCACGTGTATGATGTGTGTGGGTACCTGAATGCCATGGTGCACATGTAGAGCTAAGAGGACGGTTTGCGGAAATGGTTTTTCTCCTTCCCCCGTGGCCCCTGAGGGTGTGTAACTTGGGTCATCATGAATATTGTCAGCAAACACCTTTACCACTAAGGCACCTTGCTGACCCAGATTTACTTTTCTAATTGTGTTTCATTTAACAAGCATTTGTTATAGTACTGGTTACATGTACTATACTGCACAAATACACTGTGGCCTGGAATGTGTGCTTTAAAAGATGTGTGAGCAGTCTTCAGTCGCGCAGAAGAGTGGCCAGTTGAGGAGAGAATTACTGTTTACTGTACAAGGTTAATCTACACATTGGCCTCAGTTTTCTACAGTTTCTTTTTTCCAATACTTCCTTTAATCTAATAACAGAACAGATCTGTGATCAGTTTGAAAGGCAATTAATTTAAGTAACTTTAACTTCTTAGTAACATAGTTCACCCTTTTACATTTTCTACTCCAAATAGTTTAAACAGGCTTCATAGGAAACAATAGACAGTTATTCCATGAGGAAAATGTTCAAGACTTAGCTAAGAAAATAAGAAATATAGTTAGTTTCCTACTTTGCAATAAAGTGATTTTTTTTTCTTAATCTGGTTTTTTGTTTTTCGAGACAGGGTTTCTCTGTGTAGCCTTGGTTGTCTGTCCTGGACTTGCTTTATGGCTTTGTAGATCAGGCTGGCCTGGAACTCACAGAGATCTGCCTGCCTCTGCTTCCCAGAGTGCTGGGATTACAGGTGTGTGTCACCGCACCTAGCTAGAAGGTGACTTTTAATAAAATCCTAATCATACCTTTTTTTCTTTGTTCGATGAAATCAATAAAGTATTTGAGCTGAGAAAGGTTAAAAAAAAAGACAGGTCACCTTATAGACAAGGTGTTTGAACACTCATGTTCTTCCAGCTTGTCATAGGCGTGTGTGTTCTTTTCCTCCACGAATGCACATGCTCTGCCTTTCTGTTCACCAAGTAGCAAACCGGTGCTTGTGAATAAGTGCATGGCAGTCACCACAGCAGAGCCTGCACATTTGAAGTGTTCATGCTCCTGTCTCTTGTGCTGTGCCGTGATCCCATGACCTCCATAAAAACATAAAAAAGGAGAAAGAAAATAAGATTGTATGTTCCAAAGAAATTACAACCATATTTCTTGCTTTTTTTTTTTTTTTTTTTTTTT